GGATTCACCCACTCTAGGACGAACCTGTTTGCTCTCCTAGCAGTCCATGGTATATTCAATACTCTTCTCCAGCACCACAGCTCAAATACATCAATTCTCTTTCTATAATCTCTAGTCATTGCCTGTTGTTAAAATATATTTCTAACAAATAAGTCATAGATACTGCAAAACTCTACCCTGCAATCTCCAAGGTTTTCTCTATAACAAGGGCTATATTTTTCAACTAAAATCCTTCTTTGTTCTCAACATTTCATTGCAATCACTAGTAATTAATAATCAGGGCATACTGATTGCATGTTTGATCAATTTCAGAATAGGGAAGTTGCCAAAAATACTCAGTTTCTTCATTTTGGCCTTAGTGGTTGGTATGTAAATTTGAATCATTGTTTTTACTCTTCTTCTTTGTAGGCATATAGATATTATCCTATCATTGACAGAATTATACTTCAGTTCAACTTCATTGATCATTTCAGTACACTTTCTTTTGTTTTCCAGTAAATTTTCATTGGCTATGAAAAGTTTCTTCTCAAAGTCCAGATAATTACAGCAGAACTATTTTGCTATAGAAACTATGATAAACTAGTTTATCTAATAATATTGCAGAGTTTCTAAATAATTTCTAATTTTATTATATACTACTAATTTCTCCCCAGTTTTTGAAAAAGAATAATTAATTTAATGCCCATTGCATTCACCAATTTTGTTTACTGAAAAAGTAAGATTTAAACAATAATAAATGGTCAGAAATTTCATCTGATTCTTGTGCTAAGTAATGTTTCATGAGAATCTAGTAAGATTTAAAATTGGAATCTCCTCTTGACTTGGGGGACTGGAAAAGCATTTTTTGAGGGTTTGTTGTTGTTGTTATATTAAACAGAATCAATTGTGACTCATAGTGACCCTATTTACAACAGCTTTGAACACTGTCCTATCCTGACCCAGTCTTACTGTCCCTGATACACATACTCCCATTACCCCAATTACTGTGTAAAACCATCTCACCCTCGGTCTTCATTTCCACCTGTCCCTCCAGCCTTCCAAATACGATGTTCTTCTCCCAGGATTGGTCCCTCATGGACACACACTCAAAGTATGTCTGATTAATCTTCAAAATCCTTGCCTCCAAGAAGAAACCTGGTTCACCTTCTCCAGGACAGACCTATTTGTTCTTTTGGCAGTCAACAGTATGCTTAATACTCTTCTCTAGCACCACAAATACAGACTTTTAAAATAGTTTCAAAATAGCTATTAATTTGAATCTGAATGTATATGCCAAAGTTTCAGTAAGAGGAAAACTAATTTTTCAAAGATGTTGGCCTCAGAATAAAAAATGACAAAAATTGACCAATGATATTCAAATTTGTATGGCAATTCATAGGTTACATTATGTTCATGTGCCTCTCTATCCAAGAAACCAGCAATCTTTATAGCAGCTTTGCAGTGATATATATTTCAATGATATCAATTCTACTTACTTGGTATTAGAATTTTCCTATTAAGTTTACTATTAACCTAAAAAACTAATATTTTTAATTTACATATGAACTGGGAAAATAATTATTGTACAAATATTAAGTGTGGCATGATAACTGTCCAATCTAAATACATTTAAAAGCATTAAAAATACATTGAAATTAATTTTAAACAATTTTAATATCTACACACTCTTCTCAAACTAGTTTTAGGTCATGCTTCCACTTACTAGAGAGTCATCCAACCATTCCTTTAGTATCATATAGAATAGAGGTAGACAGTAAGAAATATGAAGCATAGAGAAGACAGCAGAAAATTAATTTCAAATATTCATGGGAGCAATACAAGGGTTTAGGTTAAAAATACAACTGAGGCAATGAAAAGGACATAAAAATGTAGACATTTAAAATGAGTTTCAAAACTGCCTAAACATGTGTGTGTTGTATGAAGAGAGGTAGAAGGAGAAAGAAGACAGGAAAAAGTTAAAGATGTTGGTGCGTGCCCCAACTGTGCCACCAGTAAGAGATGAAATCAATGCACTAAGTATTACATTTGTGATAGTGAATAGGCTAAATCTGAGAAGATGGGAAAGTGCTCAAACAGAAGTTTCTAATAGAATGTTTTTAAATGTCAAGTTAAATATAACTCAGGAATCACAGTAAAGCAAGGGAAGTGATCTTTGAATCCTCTCACCCACAGTGGGAATAAAAAGAATTAGACTAATAAAATAAACTGGCATTACTAGTATGAAAAGGGCTTAATATTGTGCTGGACAATTTACACTCATACACTTAAATCCTTACAATAACTTTGGGAAGTGTTATTATTAGCCTTGCTCCTAAAATGAGGAAATTGTGTCTGAGGAGTTAAGTAACTTGGTCAGAAATTTCAGGTATTCTGATTTCAAAATCCTTGTTTGGGGTCATTACTGCACTGATTTTGTGGTATAATATCTGGGATTATGGTATGAATGAGATACCCACAATAGCAGACGTGTAAAGGGCCAACATAGAATTTTATTTTCCAGAAGAATAAACAAATTTATTTTAAATCATGTGCATCCAAAGTTATTTTACAGGCAAAAATAGTAGACTTTCCCCCCCACCCCATTCATTCACTGTTGCACTTTTCTCTCTGTCCACCACTCCCCACCCCCAGTTTGCTCTTCTCGTTGAAAAACAAAATTCTTTCATTGTTATACAATCCCTCCAAACAAGTCCACTCCACTATGCAGCCTTCTTTCTGGACTCCTATCATGACAAAAATACCTAATCACATATCACTTTTAAACAGTTTTCTCCCTCATCTGTTTCAATGCAGTATACCTAATTTTTCCCATCTTTCTCAGTCTCCTCCCAACCCTGATGTCAGTCCTGCTTTACAACAGTGGCACTATTCAGTATTTGTCCTTTTGTGACTGAGCATAATGTCACTCCATAATTTGTCACTCAGCATAATGTCCTCCAGGGTCACTCATTTTGAATAATATATCATGAGTACCTTGTTTTTCAATGCTGCATAGTATTCCATTGTGTGAGTATACCACAGCTTCTCTAGCCATTCATATGTTGATGAGCACTTAGGTTATTTCCAACTCTTTGCTATTGTGAACAAAGCCATGATAAACATGGCTGTGTATATCTGCTTGGGTGACAGTTATGGTTTCTTTGTGGTATATTCCCAATAGTGGAATTGCTGGGTCAAATAGAATTTTTAATTTATCTTTATCTTACAGAGACTGGGAGTCTTCCCAGTTTCTGGTGCATTCCATAATGTTCCTAAAAACTTCAATGCAGGTCTATCTCTGAAAAATCAGTCAATGAGGGCTTTGGGTTTCCCAAACTGACATGGAACTTACTCTTAGGAAATATAATCAAATACAATGGGCCAGTGAAAGAATTAAACCTCCCCAATTGTTAATGAGTTTCTACTTGCATTGCTTAAGAGTTACTTATTTACACTGCCCATTATCTTTATATCAACTGCCTCACCTAACAAGAATCAAATTCACTAACTGTGTGATAGGCCTGAGATTTTGAACACTGGCAGTTGTTACACATTTCCGCGAATTTAATACTTTGAACCCTTTACCACAACAAAATGCTACCTACTCAGTTAGTGTGTGATGGTGTCTGAATCCAGTCCCTCCTGACTTTACTTTCTGATTTCTATTCCACTACACAATTTGATAGATCAAGCAAGTAAATTTTTTACAAAACATACTTAATTTTTTTCATCTGTGATAGAAAATGCCTTTCCAGAGTTTTCATGGATCATGTTTCAAGTAATTCTCTTTAATGAGTCATTTGCTCTGTCATGATGCTCATGGAACAAAGAACATAAAACACCACAATAAATTTCCTTCCATCAAATTTTTCCCTAAAATTTTTAAAATTTCTGTATTTTTCTTTTCTTGGCACCCTATAATTAATGCTACCTTTCCAAGCATGTCTTTCTTTAAAGAATAGCCTCTCCTAGCAACATCCCCAAAGCATGTCAGAGGAAGCTTTGTCACCCATGCCTCTAAAGAGAACTCTGGCTGTACTTTCTCCAAGACATATCTGTGTGTTCTTTTGGCATTCCATGGGATGTTCAGTACTCTTCTCCAAAATCCATCTCAAAGGCATCAATTCTTCTGTCATCCTTATTCATTGCTGTGCTCTCAGATTTATAGCAAGTGATTGAAAAGACTAGGTATGGCCTAAGAAGGTTGGTGAAAGAAGGGAAGACTGTCAAGTAACACAGTGACTGCAACAATGCATTCAAATATGTCAGAAAAGATGAAGATAGCACAAGACAGGACAGGGTTCAGATCTGCTGTTCACAGGGTTGCTATGAGTCATGTTTAGACTCAATTATACCTAACAACAACAACATAATATGCTGATAAGATTATTTGTTTTCTTGACATTGAGATGCAATCCATAACAAAGTCTGTATTCCTTGTTCCTCTGAAAGAACTGCTTCAAATACGTTTCCCTTTCAACAAAGCTGTGTCATCTGCATAACTCAAGTTATTGATGAGTCTCCCTCCAATCCTGATGCTACATTCCTCTTTATTGACTCCAACTTCTCAAATAATTGATACCATGACTGCCTCAATGAGCTTTTGTGTGTCAGGAAATGTGAGGATGGCACAGTTTAGAACAGGGTTCAGATCTTTTGTTCCTGGGGTCACTGTGTGTTGTACTCCACTTAAAGGCACCTGACCACAACCAGATTCTTCTCATGCTACTTAAACAAATACACAATTTGGGGTTTTCTTTTTGTTTAATTTCTTTACTGATGAAAAATGAAATTGATTCCTAGGTTAAATGAAATTTTCCAACCTATCAATTAAGTTGAATGACTGGAGTAACAAGGGCAGGCAGTCATAGCAAGAGAGTAAACTCAGACACAGACAAAGGAAAACAAAGATTTCTTTTCTAGAATTTGGGCTATGTTCTCAACTCAATAAAACAGAAATCAAAAAACTAAAAGGAAAGAAGCATAAATGTAATGAGAAAAATCTGTACTCATTCTCTTACCGAGACCACCACAACAGGGTATAATATGGAAAGACGGCTCTCCTCAAGCATGAGCAGTAACTTCTGGGTTTCTTGAAAATCAAAGTTTTGAGCCTAAAAGGTAGAACAAGTGAAAAGAAAAGAAAGTTATTAATGAATTTAAAATGTAAATCAAGGTGAAAAATTTGAAATTTTACACAAAAGTAAAAGCATTTATCAAAGTCTAATTTTTAATTATTTGGTATATTAAAGCAATGTTTTTACCCATATTTTTAACAGGGTATGTGTTAGGTTGCTAGCCTAAATGTCAGTGGTGATAAAAATGAGGCAATTTGTTCTTGTTAAAATGTATAGTTTCAGAAACAAAATACAGGGTCATAATGAATTAAGATTCACAACATGGTAATGAGTTTCAACTGGCTTCAGTATATACATATTGAAATCTGAAATACTGACTGGTTTAATCCTAAGACATATTATTTGCTTTATATTAGATACAAGGTAATAAAGTCTAAAAGAAGATAATTTTCTCATTACAAAAAATTAGCATGTTAAAAAATACTATTTCACTATTTCAAAACATAAAATATAAATTTAAAAATATATATTAAATAATAAAACAGCTATCAAAACATGGAATTCAAAATTTTAAGATCAATAAAAAATTCTAAATTTCATTTATACAAATCTCCCAGTGCTTTCAATCATTTGTATTTACTACTTACATTTACACAAACAAAATTGTAACATTTTTGCAAGACGACTTGCTGAAGATTTCCATCAGAATGATGCAATGCCCCAGATGTCACATTTACATGCTGAGGAGAAATATAATGGGAAAGAAGTTTACAAATTTTATAATCAAACATGAACATAAATAACTTCACTACAAAGGAGCACATAATTGATGCAGGAGAAGCACAGGAAGCCAAGGGACCATAGATAAAAAGAAATTAAGCTGCTTGCAGCACTATTCACAATAATAAATAGAAACTATGTCAACACCTAGGAGCATATGAAAGGAAAAACAAAAATTCAGGACATATATACAATGTAATATTATTCATCCAGCAAGAGAAATGAAGTCTTGATATATATTATAACATAGATGGAACTAGAAGACATTATGTTAAGTGAAATAAGTCACACAAAAAGGACAGATACTCTATGATATCACTTATAGAAAAAAGACAATAAAGGCAATTGTGTAGAGAACAAAGTTAACTAGTGATTAGTATGGGTAGGGGGAAAGAGTGAGGAGTTAACGGTGATGGGAATATAGTATATCATTGGTTAAGGGTAGTATCGCACTGCTGATTATTGTAAATGCTATCAATAAGCTATACACCTATACAAGTTTGAGCTTGCAAAAGTTGTATGATAGATATATTTACAACAATGACAAAAAAACCAAATGGAGCTTGTGAAGATGCTTATAGCCACTCAAAAACCTCATGGAATTCAGTTTCTATATTTGTAGGTTTGGGTTCACGGTTTCCTGACACATTTCAGTTAATTGACCTGATACTATGACTCATATTGCTACTCTGCCTACAAGTACACTGTGTGTTGCCTACTGTATTAAATAAGCTGGCAAGCAGCCACCCAACATATAATAATTGTTCTCAATTTTCTTAGAACAACAGGAGAAGAAATACTGGAAGACAAAGAGGATATAGGATGTGTTGGTGATAACCTCTGTGGACAAGTGACTCCATTATTCAGGAGTCACTTGCCCATCGAGGTGATTGTGTTAGCTTAAAAGTTGGCTTTTCTAGTCATTACATTAGCCTTCTGTGTTCTCCAGCTACCTTAACTGTTGATACATAGTCTTGCAAATCACCAACAGCTTTGAGACTAGGATAAAAGAGAGAGTGCAAGGCACAATGAGCAGCAAGACCTGAGGGAGACTGGAGTAAGACTCTGATGAGAGCCAGACAAGAGTGATATCCTGGTGAGAGCTGGTAGAGAGACTGTGGCATGCTGTGAAGAAACTGTGGCAAGGTGCAACAAGAGGAGCCCTGAGGTAAAGGCCACAGTGAAATGTTTTGCTGTTCTTGTCAGATGATTGAAGGACTTATAACTGCTCTAATGCAAACCTTTATAGATGATTTGGAGTTGACTGCTGAACTCAAACCAGAACTTTCACTAATTAAGGAACTGTGTTTTGCTTATGGCTTGGGACTGTTGGACTAATCCTAGACTTGTATTGTGAGACATTCACCGTCTCTCACACTCTCAATCCTATTTCCTTAATAAACCCACTCTTGATATCACAACTATGAGTAAAATCTGTGAGTCAACATCAAATATAGAACCCATATGATTGGGAGAAATAGTTGCAGGACAGAGTCGTGTCTGACCTAGCAGTTGTTTGGTGCTATAGATATTGATGCAGAAAATTCCCCTTTATTAAGTGGACAGAAGTCAAGCTCTTTACCCTCACATCATAGCATCCACTCCTTTTGCAACATAAATATTTTTATCAAAGACTAAAAAGCAATCTTTTATAAGCTTTCATTAAAATCATAATAAGGGAAAAAATGGAATTTTTATCAAATAGGAGAAATGTAGAACAATTTCAAATTGGCTTGTACTCTAGACTTCATAGAACCAGGAAAGTTGGATGAACTCCTGGAAGTACTGCTTTGAGATAATCTTTATTAAATCTTGAACAGAAAATAGTCCCTGATGTTGTCTTAAAACTGAGTGACAATTTTTAGTAACTAAAAATTAATTAGTACAAAAGGTCTTTCTCAAGTATTATACTCTTTTAAGAACTATCCATACAGGGTCAAATTGAAAACATCAACTCAAGACAGTTAGAAATCTTAGGGATCAGTAGATTTATGTTAATTACAGGGATAACCAAGAAAAGGGGGGATGAGTATGACTGAACAACTCATAAATGTAATCAATATCATTAAATGTAAATAAAAGCTAAGAACTGGGAACTAAGTGACTGCTACAGTGCTACCTCTCCTATAACAATGCCACATGTTTCCTCATTTCTGTGAGCTTGGAAAATCTATGGCATTCATTACATTTAGAACATGCCACAGTTTAGAAATTTGGAATACAATCTTCATTCTTTAGCAAAAGACAAAACTCTACAACTCTACAGTTATCACCAATCCAGTAGTCTAACTATGTATATGTTTGATGCAATACTTCAGAAGAGGGCAGAAAACAGATTTTTAGATCTTGGCTCTTCTAGGGAAGTCACTTGACTTGTGAACTTTAAGAATTGTATCTCAGTTTAAAGTTTTAACAGGGTGTAAAAGTAAAAATTTTTTTAAAGAAGCAATGTCCATAGTCACACACTGATTCTAAAATACAGATGAAATCAGATCTCTGCTGTGAAACGCTCAGTCTGAAGTCACTTTGAGGTTGTTGTTGCTATATGCTATCGAGTAGCCTGCAATTCATAGTGACTCTGTGTACAACAGCCTTAAACCCTGCTATATCTGTGCCAATCTTACTGTATCAGAGGTGTCTATCCCCTTACCCCACTTACTGAATCAATCCAACTCATCAAAGGTCTACCTCTCCTGCGCTTTCCTTCCACCCTCCCAAGCATGATGTCCCTCTCCAAGAACTGATCCCTCCTTGCTACATGTCTAAAGTACGTCAAATGGAGCTTCAGAATCCTTGCCTCCAAAGAGCAGCCTGACTTCACCCTATTCAGAACAAACCTGTTTATTCTCCCAGCAGTCCATAATATATTCAATACTCTTCTCCAGCACCAAAGCTCAAAGGCATCAACTCTCCTTTTATCATCCCTAGTCATTGTCCAGCTCTTGCATAGCAAGTAATTGCAAAGACCATGGCCCATATCAGGCACACCTTAGTCTCCAGAACGATATCATTGCTCTTCAGTACTTTGGAAAGGACCCTAACAGTAGACTTTCCCAGTGCAATTCATCTTTTAATTTCCTGGCTGCTGGTACCAAGAAGGTTGATTGTAGAGCCAAGCATACTGAAGCTGTGAACAATCTCAGTCTCTTCATCATCCATCACAATGCTGCCGATCAGTAAAGTGGTGAGAATCTTTGTTTTCTTGATGTTGAGCTTTAATCCATATAGAAGGTTGCAGTCCTTGACTTTTTGCAGCAAACACTTCAGGTCCTCCTCAGTTTTAGCAAGCAAGGTTGTGTCAGAAATGCATGACTCTCCCATGTATTCACATGTTTCACACAGGCTTTAAGAGTTAACTTGCTTTTGACTGCCCTTTAAGGAGGCTTGTATAGTAAGCATTTCTGCAAAAAAATGTGTAGTTAACCTATGAAAAAAGCAGGGTGTAGGGCGCCAAGCCCAGGACAGTTAAGAGTCACCACATACATTTTGACTAACCAAAGTTAATTGCTAGAGGCTTACTGTTGGCTGGAAGTTTTACTGGTAACATAGTCAGTTATATATTTTCTATGTGCTATGTATTATTTATTGCATCCAAAGAAACATTTAATTTTCAATAGAAGATAAAAATATATTTCTCCAAAAGCACCCTTATAGCTTTACAAATGTCCTTTTTTTTTTTTTTTTTGCAGTGGTACTTGTCCTAAATTCATTTATCTTGAAATTTTTTTTTTTTTTTTTTTGCAGTGGTACTTGTCCTAAATTCATTTATCTTGAAATTATAGTGGCCACCGTAGCTAACTAAGTAAATCAAAGCTATGATAAGTATCAAACAGTTATTTATTTTTCTGTAAAATCATGACTTTTTCCTTTGCTTTTTGGGGCATTTCTACTTTCACTAGTGTCACTTTTTATGGGACCCAGGTGTTACCCAAGGCTTATGGTATTGGAATAAGGATAAAAAGACTCAAGAATGCTGAAAGAGCACTTTTTACTATAATACATGGGGATAATTAGCCTGAGATAGAATTTTCTCTCTCAATATTGTGAAAATGGCAGTAGTACCAAAGGCAATATATATGTTCAATGCAATCCCAATACAAATACCAATGCCATTCTTCAAGGAGATGGAAAAGGTAATCTCCAGCTTCATTTGGAATGGAAAGAAGACCCAAGTAAGCAAAGCATTCCTTAAAAAGAAAAAATGTAGGAGGCATCTCTCTTCCTGACTTCAAATCCTACTACACTGCCGTGGTGGTTAAGACAGCATGGTACTGGTACAATGACAGACACATAGACAATGGAATTGAATTAAGAGTCCAGAAATCAGCCCATCTACCTATGGTCAACTGATTTTTGACAAGGAGATGAAATCAGTTAAGTGGGGAAATGACAGCCTTTTTAACAAATGGCGCTGGCAAAATTGGAAAGCTGTATGCAGAAGACTAAAACAAGATCCACACCTCACTCCATATACAAAAACCAACTCAAGGTGGATCATGGACTTAGGACTAAAACCAAGGACTGTAAACTTCATTCAAGAAAAGCTTGGAAGAACTTTAGTAGTCCTAATCCACAACATAAAAAGTCTTCCAAGTATCCTGGAAAATCTACAACAAGGAGAAGATAAAATAGGTGAATGGGACCTTCTAAGAATCAAATCCCTATGCACATCCAAAAACTTCTCCAATAGAGTAAAAAGGGAAGCCACAGACTGGGAAAAAATATTTGGTAATGACATGTCAGATAAGGGACTTATATCCGGAATTTATAAAATACTTGAACACCACAATAAGATAAAGGTAAATAATCCAATAGAAAAATGGGCACAGGATATCAACAGACACTTCACCGAAGAAGACATTCAGATGGCCAACAAGCACATGAAGAAATGTTCAAAGTCCCCAGCTCTAAGAGAGATGCAAATCAAAACAACTATGAGATATCATCTCACCCCAGTAAG